TGTACACTCATAAATAAACTAAATACGAGAGTATTATTTAATATGTTAGTTTTATGTTACTTATGAAAAGTAATATTAAATTTCTTTGAAATTTCTTTTGAAATTTAAAAATAAAAAGTTGCTGGCGTTTATGCTGAGGTTTTATTTTACACATTTTCTCCCCCCAAAATAAAATTATAATGAATCATCCATGTATATGTTTTTGATTACTTTCATAAGACGGACAGGAAACACCTGTTTGTGTGCTTTCTTCTCTGCAAGATTCATTAGAAAACTACCCCAAATTAAATGTGAAAATTGTGGAGGGACAATAGGAAGACAGACCTCGTCGGCCGCAAATAGCAATTACAAATACAAACACGACAGTTGAAAGTCCCTAAAAGTCTGCGGATGACAACGCTGTTTCCTTCTGCTGTTTCCTATAGTTGTGCCAATTAGAATTTTGCGAAAACTTGAAAGCAAATTGCAACAGTTTGTTAGGTCGCTCACTTTGTCTTCTGTCTTCAGTGTCAGTGGCAAAAGGGAGTTTATATATATATCTATATATATTCTTCTGCAGACAGATATATCCGAGTGTATATATATATAGAGGAGTTGCGCGTGGCGATATGCAAATGCATGTGTGTCGCTGTGCCTGCAGATAAGTTAACTTCACTTCACTTTCTATGTGTGTATATACACTTTCCGGACTACTTCCGCTGCGGGGCATGCAACCGCAGTGCTGAGCAGTGCAGTGCAGCGCAGTGCCTTGCCTTGCCGTGACCCTGCCAGCCACCCGCCTCCTGAACACCCCCGATACCTTCCTTTCTCCTATCAAGAACCCTGCCGACAAGAACAACAGCTACACAATAAACAAAAGTCGCAGTCTTTAAAAATTACTAAGCAATTATTATTTAATCAAATTAATACCAGCTTAATGTAAGATTTTTCAATATTATATTAAAATAGTATTTGAATGGCTTTAGTGTTTTTTTTTTTTTCAAAGTTTTAACTATGTAAAAATGCAATATCTAACATCCAAAACTGAGCTCCTAATGCTAATATTTAAGTATCTTAAACAATTCTACATATTCTACAAACGATGCTTTCATATTTATTCAGAAAACGATTTAAATTCTTTAAAAATAAGACCATGTTTCCAAGCAAGCCAGTTTAATGATAACTTTACATAATGGCCAACTTCTTGGATATTTCTACAAACCAAAAAAACCATCTCTATATATATATGAAATATATTTATAAAACTATCTCAAACTTTCTCCAAGTGCACTGGCATCTTCCTCTGCGTCTTGGCTCCGTTTTCATCATTTATTTGATTACACGCCACTCATAAGCGCGAGTGCGTGAGTGTATGCCAACAATTCGGAGACAGTGTGTGTGTGTGTGTGTGTGTGTGTGGGGTGTGCGAGTGTGCCACAGGGTGTGTGTAAGAGTGCGTTTATTGAACCGGGAGAGCTCCATGGCAGAGCAGCGCCTAGCTGGCGACACTGAACACAACTCAACCCAGCCGAAGAGAACTCAACTCAATTCGATGTCGCGACGTTCCAACTCGGTTGGGACTCGGTTCTTTTCTTTTCGGTTCTGCTCATATCGCTCCTATGTATAGTGTTCTATATATGCATATATATGTATACATGTTTATATATATAACTATCTTTATATGGCATATGTTGGCCCAGCTCATCCAGCGGGCAGCTGTAAAGCGAGGACATCCATCGCTTCCGATATCCTTACTAAATAAACAATATGCGGGCTCAGTGACGACCTCGACTCTTCTTTTTCCATAAAGCAGCGTTTCGTAAATGTAAGGCACTTTCTCCGAGCTAAATACTTTTGGATCCTTAAATCTCTGCAGGGTCAGATGCTTGGAACCCTGTTAAGGAGTCATTTTCGACCCTATATTTCATATATATTCTTGATCAGCATCAGCAGCCTAATCGATCTAGCCACCTCAGAGAGGAACAAAAATTTTAAAATTTTTTTTTAATTTTATAAGGAAAAACTTAGGAAAAATTGATAAAATCTAATTTTTCTTAAATTGTATATTGAGTATCCAGTTTTGTTACCCAAATAAAAACTAACATAGGAAAGCTTTCCGAATTAAAATGTATTCTTTTTTGGCTTAGTTATGATTTTTTAAAACTTTCATTTATAAAAAACATGTCATAAAAACTGTTTAAACCATAATTTAACATATGGAAATACTTAAAGCGTGGTTATGATCGATTTTTAATTCGATCCTATAATTCAATTGCATTCTGCAATGATATATTAACTTCGACTTTCTTTTTTTGTTGCAAATATTCAGTTAGTCTTTCGAAAAACTCAATAAATATATAAACCTAATTGACATGACTATATGCACTTTCTGACCTGCCTTGTAATTATGAAACGTAGATTATTTGCGTCCTCTTTCACTGTATATTTTATATTTTTCCCCAACCCTTCCCGCAGACCCTTCAATTACAATTTTCGCACTTTAATAAATGCCAAGATTCGGTCCAAGCCGCATGAGCAGAAACCTCCGGAGTGCGGAGTCCAGAGGGCGGAGTAGCCTCAATGGCCGACTGGCGGAGTACATAAATAGTTCATCCTGGCTGCCTCGCATGTCTGGCGCTGGTGAGTCAGCGCGGGTTCAATGTCCTGGCGCGCCTTTAAGAATGCCAGCGCGACTCCTTTGGACACACACTCGAGGAAAACAAAAGGGAACAATAATAAGTAAATTGCTCATATTTTGTTATTCTGATTAAAAAGGCGCCCGCGCTCATTAACCGCAGCCATTCCACAGGCAAATGTCCTAGTCGCGAGGGCTTTTCCGGCTCAGACCGAACTCTGACTCCGACTCCGTCTCCGACTCCAACTCAGATGCAACCGCAGACCCACAAATGCATTAAAAGCCATGGGGACGCAGTGGATGGCCCCAAACAATAAGCGTGCATTGTGCACTCCAAACTGCAGTGGCCAAACCCAGAGACTGGTGGCCCCCATCTCGGGGCATCTGAATGAGCACACATGTACAGTGGGTTTTAAAGAGTATAAAACTATCTTACTAACAAGAAATACAACAAATTTTAAATTAAATTAAAAAAAAAAATGGAATGACTTGTTACATGGGCTTACCCAAACTGTGATTCATTGGGTTTATTTCATAACTTTTTAAAATGTGGTTGAAGTGGTAGAAGTGGGAACTTCCTGGGAAGTTTAACAGTAACCCAATTGACAGGAATTCACGTATTTATAATTCATGTATTTGCAATTCGCGTATTTTTTGATAATACTAAGTTGAAGGTATAGAGGTACACCCTTCCTTCATAATTTATCATATTTTACATTTCAAGTGTCCATATTATTTAAATACTAACTGAATTGACTTTGATTAAATCGAAAGAATTAGTACATTTCGTGTAAAAAAATAATAATATAATACTTTAACTAATATTATATTCACAGAAAACTTTAATCTTTAAAAGAGGTTACGCCAAGCTTACAAAAATCATAAAAACTTTGACTGACAAAGGTTCAGGTAATGTGAAGTGTTCTTTAAATCTTTAAAAATTAATCATCCAAAAAAATATCTATCAATTAAGAACCAGTTCCCCCTTCAAGGTTGCTATCTATGACGCCACACTGTGCCTGTATATGTAGACCATTTTGGGATTTTGGGGTCATAGGCATGAGCAGCCGCAGCATAAGCAGGCAGCAGCTTCTGTACACTGGACAGAACCGGGGGTGACCGGTGGGGCGGTCTTTGGAGCCGCCTTATCTCGATGGTGCAGCCCCGACCCCTTGTTGCTGCGGATACGGATTGAGTATCTGAAGCTGCACACTGCCACTGCAACTGCAACTGCAATGGAAATGCTCCTTCTTTATGCTGATTTCATTTTCAGTTGCTTGCCACCGACAGAACTCTCTCGTTCTTGGATGCATATGAAACGTTTGGGGATTTTCTTTTGGCTTCTTTTGCTTTATTCATATTGGTTTATTATGTATGTATATGTTTTACAGCCGTGGTAATTAATGCTGCTATTTTTGTTGCCAATTCAGGTCTTTATGCAAACATATGTTGCACTCAAAGGGGCTCTGGGAGTTTAAAAGTTAATAATTGATGACTTTTTATTGGCTTTTGGGCCATTGTGTCAAACAATATTTAAGCGAACATCATCAATGATGCATGGTTTAAGTTTATTTGAGCATTAATTATGAGAATAAATGTGTATTCAAATTGATTAAATTGTTCTTTTTTTAACATAAATAATCGGTGTTTATTTCACATTGTTTTAATAGATGTGGAATGATGTTAATTTTGTGTGTTATGGAATTTAATTATAATGAAATTTAAATCAGATATTGCAATTCTCTAGCAATTCTGATAAATTTAAGAATTAAAATAAGTCTGTTCTTAAAAAAATTTAAAATTTTTACATAGTCTACAAACTCTAATCCCCGTCTGCTATCTATTTAAGACTTTCATTCAAAGTTTATACGTTTAAATATAAACTCTTAATAGGTCTATGTAGTTTCAATTATATATTTACCTAATTAGCCACTTAAAAAGTATGGCTAAAATGCATAATAAAGGTTATAAAGTTTTGTAACTTTTCGTGGAGAAAATTACGCCATAAATATTCACAATAAATTTTTAAAAATTCTGGAAGCATTAAATATTGCTGATAATGAAAATTTCTAATACAGTGATCGCTTCTATGTTTTTGGATGTCTTTCTTTTAGGTCAAGATAAATTAAGAGCTTAATACGGAGAGTGTCTAGATTTAAGAATTATCTATGTAGTTAAAGAACCGTGCTGAATATAAGAGTAAAATGGTCGATACGACAAGGTAACAGTTATGCTGTTGAAGTTAGCCCTTAAAGATTATTGACTTTATCAAGCCAGTAACAATGAATAGTATCTCAAGGATACTTTTAACCAGCCAGTAACAATGAATAGTATCTCAAAAATGCTTTTTTTGCGATTAAAGTTAATCCAACCCTTTAAAACTCACCATTGTATCCTCGGAGACGGCGCTCTTGGCTTTGCCGGAGGACTTGTGCGCCCGCATGTCCAGCTGCTCCGCAGTCGGCGGCAGGTTAACGGGTCTCTCATGGTGGAAGTGGTGATGCTCTTCTGGCAGAGGCGGTAGATCCAAGATGCAGGTGACCAGCGACACGAGTGCGAGCAGGACGCCTAGCCGGCACAGGCCGGCTACACATGTGGACCACATTTCCTTTTTCTTTGCTTTGCTTTTTCTTCTCTTGTTTGCTTTCCGTTTGAGAAGACAGGGAGACACAAGAACTTTGCACTTTTCCTTCACTCGACGATCATTTGGGATCCGTGAATAACTATTTCGTTTTCTTTTACGTTTTTCTTCTTATTCGCGGCTTAATTAATTCGTTGTCGTAAATGGGGGCAGGGGGGAATTGAACTTTTCACGCGGGGGTTGACACACACAAACACATGCGCAATGGCGGACACACAAATAGCCGGCAGCGTAAACAGCTGCAGAAGCAGCAACAAAAGAATGAAAATTCGAACCGTTGCTCTGTTTTGTGCTGCTAATTCTTGTGCTTGTTTCTGTTTTTGTTGTGGCCACTGCTTCTGCTCTCTTTTACTCGCACTCGCTCGCTCTCTCCTTTTTGGCCCTTTTTTCCCTCCTTTACATATGACGCATACGTAATGTGGGTGGAGGAGGGGGGAAACAGGAGCACGGTGGCGGGGGGTGCGTTTAAATTGGTGGCACTATCAAAGACACATTAGCTTTGTGCGAAAAAACACAATTAATTAGCACGCAATGCATTTACAAAGGAGGTGCACTGGCTTTTGTTGTTCGTTAGCGTTTACGGTTTTTTAATATAATCCCGATACCGAATCCCGCGGTTCTCGGAGTCCCGAAGTCCCGTTTCTCGCCACGCTTTGTTCTCCTTACAAAAGACGTAGGCGGTACAGGCAGCAACAACAACAATGACACCAGCTAACGCGTTTCTTTATTCGTGTTTCGTGTAAGCATAAATCCGCGGTATATTTTTGTAAATTTATTTCCACTTTGTATTTTGTTTTCTGCCACCAGTTTCGTTTCAAGTATTCACTTCGCGCGCGAACGACAGACTGTGGGTCGGCTGCGACTTGAAAAGAGATGCCATGCCAGTTCCCACACAACGAGCAGTGACTCTCTTCTTTCGCGCTCTCCGCGGGGTGGCGATTTGAGCGAGAGAGCGCCACTGATCGTTGCTGGGGAGCGGGAGCACTGTGTAAGAATGCAATGGCAATATTAGCGAAGGATAAAGACCCCCCACCCCAGCCAACTCCTTGCACTGCACTATGGAGCAAACGAGCAGTTTTTATGATACTAATTAATAATATTAAAGCGATGTAATTTAGTTAAGTTTGTTTGTTATAATGAAAGGAACGTCTTTAAAATGGAAGTAGGTTTTATTTTTTAATGTATACATGCAAAATATAGCATATTTATGTCGTTAAAAATATCTTTAATACCCCTGCAGGGTATTATACTTTTTGTTAGGAGCATGTAACGCTATAAATAAATTATATATTCTTGATCAGCATCAACATCCTAGTCTATCTAGCTGTTCAGGGGCAAAAAATGTATGTCTTTCAATATTTAATAAGGGGTTACATCGGTAAAATTGTCAAAAATTTATTTAAATTTTAATTATTTAATTTATAAAATGAGTATGCAGAGCTAATAATAACTTACATAGAAAATTAAAAGCTTATAAAAGAAATGGATATTTATTTTATTTTTGCATGTATTTTGAGGAGGCAAAATATACCCTTGCAATGTTATTTTAATTTTAGTCAGAAGCTTGTGAAGCTGTGATGGTTTAATTTCCGATCTATAAATCATATATATTTTCTTAATCAGCAGCCGAGTCAATCTTGCCATATTTGAAATAAAACCATTTTTGTCTTTTTTAAAATTTAAATTAAATTAATTAATTAAATTAAAAGGGTCTTAATTTTATGTAATTATAAATTTAGGATACAGAAACATACATATGTAAAAAATATAATATATAAAAACATAGATAAAATTCATTGCAAAAAATGCGTATATTTTAAAATTGGTTTTGATCGATTCGATCCTATAAATCACTTGTAAACTTAAAGGGTTTGACGCTTCGGCTTTTCAAAGTTAATTTCCTTTCTTTTATGTGTTTTAAATATTATTATTTTTTAAATTTAATTATGTGCAGTAACAGTTTAACTATCAGCGGGCATCTCAACAGTGAAGTGGTTTTTATATTGGTGATAATATGGATTAATGTCATTTAAGTTATATTTCGTTAAAAAAAGATAATTTAATAAAATATTAATTAAATTAAGAAAAAGTATTTAATCAACTTTTAAACGAATCAATTTTTTGTTCCAGAAAATTTTTGTGTTTGCCCCATAGTGCTGCTTGTAACTCGCGCTGTTAAGCTTTTATATTGGTGACAATATAGATTAAATTGTCAGTTAAAATACATTCCGCTAAAAATAGATAACTAAATAAAAATTTATGAATTTATAATATTAATCTTTAAATAAGTATTCAAACGACTTTGCAATAAATCATTTTTTTCTTCCAGAAAAGTCGATCTTTGCCCCATAGTCCACTGCTTGTAACTCGCGCTCTTTTGTCGCTTTCTTTCGCTCTCTGCCTTTCTCTCTCTCTGTTGGTTACTCTTTGAAAGAGTTGTAGTCTGATCGGAGTGGGTGTTGCTGGGGAGTCAAGAGTTGTAACTCCAATATTACCTAAGGATAAGAGTCCATAAATAGCATGTAAATGGAGCTCTTTCAATAATCTTTATATTCTCTTCTTGCTCTTTTGGAAATTTAAAGAGCGCTGAAGACCGTTGTGGGTGTTTGTTTTTTTCTTTCGTTTTTTAGCGCTTATGTTTTTTATGCTACCTAAAAAGTGTCGGTCTTAACACGTTTGTGCCAAGATTGGCGCCACTCCAGCGATTGCACAATAGATACAAAGCAGATGGTTAATAATACTGATTGATGGATCAGTTTCTTATGAAAAATACAAAATATAAAGATTACACAGTGCGAAATTAAATTAAAATACAATTAAAAATCTATCTTAAAATTCAAAAATGATAATATAATAATAATATTATAATATATTTAGAAAAAATGGCTTAAAACTAAAGATATTATTATATTCTAAATTGACTTATTATTTCTTTCAGTGCCTCATTAGCTGAGACAATTTTATTTTTGAATGAACGTCTAATCAATTTACGCACGAACGGTTGGATAGTGTTCGTTGACCGATTACTCATGGTAAAACTCGGTTGTATCATACTCGACTTATCACTGAAATAATCCTCTGGGAAAACCAAAAAACCCATTGATAAATGTTTATTACAAACAAGCTTAAAATGAAGATGTTATGTTACGTTTTTTGGATGATCATCGTGCTCAATGCCCATTTTAGTTTTAATTTATTGACACTTAATCATAACCAATATACAATATATACAATATCTTGTAGTATATTGATGACTGTTCCTAGAAGCGTGCGTGCGATAGAAATAAACCATAAACTTAAGATAGGTTCCGTACACTGCGTTTCATTAAAAATTTACAAAAATTTGTAAGATATTATTTTAAATATTTAAATCTGAGTTAACCCAAAAGTTTCCGATACGAAGAGGAAATAGAGACAGAGATATAATCAATAATTTTTATTAAGATATTTTATATTGAAGTCTGGTTATATTATATTATATTTTTTAATTAGGGTAGTTCCAGCCAATACCCTATTATTATTTAATTATTTATTATTATTATTATTATTACTTTCTTTTCAGATTATAAAATAGAATCTTATTCTACCGTCAAGCACTGTACCCACACAGATATCCAAAACTGCTTGCCGGCAAATTTCTGAACTCAGACTGAGGGAGGTCATGGGTTCAAGTGCTAATTGAACACGAAATTGAATGCAAAACCGATTTGCAGTTGACCTACAAAAAAAGTATAAATAAAATTAGTAAAAAGCCCACAAAAGGTGCGTTTGAGACATCGGAAGTGTTGTGTCATAAATGATGTAAAGAGGAACATAAGACTTTGATGCAATTATTATTTATTATATTATATAAATGCTGTGACCCCAATATAAAATCAATGACACATGGTCAAGCCCCATAAAGGTGCGTAAGAACACGGAAATATATATTATAACGCTAAGGAAATCATATCTTATCAAATCAAAGGTACTACTCATAGCTCAATGGGTAAGCTTACGTAACTTTAAGGTAAAAATGTTCATGTATCATTCAAAAATATAGTAAAATTCACCGCTAGCCATGGTCAGGATCATCCATCGAATGGCGTTATCATATTGTTCGTTTCCTGCAGAAATGGAAAAACACGCTGATAAGGCGACAGCATAACATAAGTAAGGAAGGTTAGTAACTTTTGATGTCAGTGACTCAGTGGGGCACTATCTTGTTTATTGTATTTCTCTGAGAATGCATATACTTTCGTCTGATAACCATATCAGTGACAGTTTACCACAATCAATTGCTCCTTTCGAACGGCCAGTGGTATCTGTATCTGCTGTAAATGTATCTGTATCTTTAACTGCTGTATCTGTATCCGAAGAGGCCTCGATTTCGAATTGCCGGGTACAAGTTCGTGAGAAATCAATTATGGAGAACGACAAGTGTCGTCTGGCGATGGCCGAAAGCATAATGTACGAGTAAGGGGTACGGATACATATACAAATACTTATATAATGTTGTATTATAATGTGTGGGCGGTAGAGCACGGATGTCTGGCCGATATGGCGAAAGTTATTTATTTATATGCCTGCGTTCCATACACTTGATTCCTGTGAATGCACTTAAACAATTCTTGGGAATTCTTAGGAGATTAAATATATATTAAGTTTTATAGGCTAATATTATACTGTATCTATCAAACTATATTGTGAAACAAAATAATAAATGGCATTTCTCAGAGATCTTAGTCGCAAAAAGGATCAAATTTTCATTTTATTTCACTCCATTTTATTGAAAACTATTAGACGCCTTTTTAAGAAACTTCAATCCCTATGGTTATGGTCCTATAGCATCCCTTTACTTAAATGTAATACAAAATACCTTTAAATCAATATTATAATGTATACATTTGTGACTCTCAAAGAAGCTAATTAAAAATGTATTATATATAAAATTATTTAATTTTTTGTATGATTTAAATTTACAAACCTGAGCAAGTGGTTCCTGTGTACTGCCACAGTCAGATCTCTCTTCCCATTGTGCAATCTCTGGGTGACTCAATTCGAGGCGCTTGTTTCGAGGTGATCTAAAATGGAAGTGGGCACATGTAACCAGCGGTGGTGGTCGGACATGAGATTTACATACTACCATTTCCCAAGTGCGCAAAATCGAACACGTTCCTCCTCAGACAGGAAATCAAAGCAATTACTAATTGTGTTTTACACAGCGCCAAAAACTTTCTCAGATGACGCATGTCGTTTACAAATGGACAGGAAATGCCAGCCCAATTGACCTTCCTCTACGCCCAACCCCACAACAGGCAGATGCATCTGTATCTCTGTATCCGAGTAATTAATTAAAATATGCATCCAATGCACTCCGATTTTCCCTGGCTACGAGCATTGCCCTCGTCTCTTGCCTTGATGTGTCCATCTGGGAAAATGCCACCTCCACCTTCTCGTGATGATTTCCATTTAACATGTTCATTAATCACATTCGGTGGAGTTTGTGGCTCATTATCGCATGGAAAGTGTCACACGGCCAACTGAGAATTTATTGAATTCACTCACTCAATGGCAAAAAGGGAGCACAATTAATATGACAGCAAGTATGTACAAATTACAAATTCCGCATCCGATTTGCATGACAAATAAGCCGAAATTTTTTTTTGGATATTAGCCAAACAGGTTGTGGGAATTAAACAAAAGTAGTCTTTTTTCAGGTGTTCGAATTGTTGATGCTCTAACCTCAGGCAAACTTATGGGGATATTAAACTGACGAAGCCATAAGCTTGATCAAAAGCGGGGATAAGCCTGAAAGTCGATTTAAAATTTACGAGTGCATTTTTGCTGGCCTTTTTTTCACACCTGAAAGCGGTTCCATGGGTGAGTGCTTCCCAAAAAATTTATAAAAGAGATCCAGTGATATAGCGACCCTCTTTTTCCCATGAGTCAACAGCCTCTGGTTTTTGTGGCGCTTGTCAGCTGCCTGACGCACACTAAATCCACATTTATATATATATTCTTCACGTTAAACAAATAAATTTAAAAAAAGGGCAGAGATTTGCATCTGCTGGTGGCTCATCCGTACAAATTACGCAGAAAGCTATAATGACAACAAAGCATTTTAAATTAATATACATATTTGCATTATCTATTTTCTTGTTAAATGAGATTGAAGAAAAATGTCACATTTTTATGAAATATGGTTAGTGATTAAAAGGAATTATGCTTAAATCAATGCATGAATAATTAAGAACTTTAAATAATTAATTTAAGGATCCATGTTCAGAATTTTCACTTAATATTTTAAATATTAATTTAAAAAGTTACGGACTGAAACCAGGAATAAGGAAAAGGATATAGCTAATTTAATGAAGGATTCTTAAGATAATAAGTGTGATTTTAAATTTTTTAAACAATCTAAAGCCATTATTTTAATCCTATTAGTTCAAACTAAACCAACCTTTAAATCATTAATATTCCTTACCAAAAACTGTGCTTAAATTATTTGAAATAATTAAACTTGAACTCGAAACTCTGCATTCGACGGCCAGGAAACCCATTAAACCGCTGCTGAAAATCTTAAAAAGATTAGTTACCACGGCAAAGGACGATCGTTAACTTTGATTAGCCTGCCCAAAACTGGCTAAGTACTTTGACGAAAGTAGATGCAAAGTCTTCCCCTGTAGCTCTGTGGGGATTCCCGTGTCTATCCATTTCGGCCATGTCTGAATTTCCCCTCAAACACGCATACCCCGCACTCCTGTTTGTTTCATTATCTGCATAATTTAAGCAAGTTTCAGGAAAAGCCACAGAAGGCCAAGAGGAAGACGCAGAACTGCATAACTTTGGCCATACTTCAGTTGCATTGCGTGTAATATTTAATTATAATACGCCACCCCCCTTCCAACTGCATTGCAACTTTACGGCACTTGCCAATTGCACTTCGGTGGCAGGCAGCAGGAGCAGCAGGAGCAGCATCCTCCTCCTGGGACTGCGAGTGGCATAAACGTCTTGAGAGGGCATAAAATATTTAATTGTGTCACGTAACTTTCAGCCAACTGACTTGACTGACTTGGCAGCAGCGTATGGATAGATACTTATTGTTCAGTATGCATTACAATTTCAAGTTTGCAACTGACGCTGAGGGAAAATGGGATTACTGGAAACGCCACCAAAGTGATAAACGAAATTAGCCAAAGACATCACATCATCATCTCGCGGGTTTGCGATTACCATATGAAATATACAGCTTTATTCATTCGCTTTTCATCGTTTTTTTCCTTTCTTTTGTTTAATACAATCATGTAATTAGTTTATATGTTCATATAAAAAAATATATGAGTGAAATGTGAACATTTTCTGCCAAACTGAAGAACAATTTTCCATTTTCAATTACTCAATGCGATTTATATCCGTCTCCGGTGCCACTTAATTTCATTCTCATTCGTTTACAAACTATGCTGAGCAGAGAGTTTCTTCAGATGCATTTAGGTTTTGCTTTAAGTCGAGTCTTTGTATTTCGTATGTTGCGAATTCATTTGCCATTCCTTAGAGGATACACACACATAATAATATATATATATATAATTTCTAGATCTGGGTTGCCATCCCTCGGGTTGTGGTATTTGTGATTTAAATTAAAACTCAAAACAGCTAGACATTTCATTTCTGTTTAGAGGTGCGCGTGGGCGTGTCTCCGAACGACAAAACGGGATCATAAAATAATTTAATGGTTAAATTAAGAATATATATGGGCTTAGGGCAGCGTGTAACGAACGTAGGGCACCTCCACATCCTCGCCTTCGACGTCGTTGCAACAGATCTCGAACACCAGCGAGCGTTCGTGGGATTCAATGCGGCGCTTGGACACGCGACGCACCACCTCCGACATGGGCAGCGGCAGCCGCTCGGAGCACTTGGCCTTGGGCATGAAGAACGAGTACAGCATCGATACGCCCTGTGAGAGCATCGTGATCTTCAGCTTCTCCTGCTCCTCGAAGTAGGTGAGGAACTCTTGCAGCGACAGCTCGCCGTTAACCTCGAAGCGGTCCCACAGCGTCCACTCCTTGCCGTAGTACTTGTTCTTGGCGGCGGGCAGCGGCTCCGAGAAGGCCATGAATGGTAGCGCCAGATTGACAAAGCCATTCTTGAACTGATCGAGATTACGGTGGCCGGCAATCAGCTTGATCACCTCCAGCACAGCCAAACCGGAGAGCACCGATGTTGTGGTGGCAATGGCGGGTATGATCTTACCCGCAATAAGCTTGGACTTGTGACGATCGGCTGGTGGGATCTTATAGTTCGTGGCGCGCAGATTCGAACAGGCCACAATGAAGTCCATATGCAAGTTGCTGTCGTCGTCCTTTTCAAACTCCAAAGGTGTGATCTTTGCGCTCTTGTCGACGTTCTTCAGCAGCTCGGTAATGATCTTGTCCATGCGATCCTGGTCCACTTCACCATCATCAAAGTTGTTGGCCGCAGCAGCAGCGGCTGCTTCATTAGTCTCAATCCTAACGCCCGAACGTGGCTTAAATTCTGGCACCTGAAAATTAAGTAATTAAGAAAAGTCTTCTATTAAATTCCAAACGAACAATCTCACCTTAACCTGTTGCACCAACTCTGAAACTGTCTGGCGATTGCGAACTTGTTCAATGCCATAAACCTCCGCCCTCAAATTGGCAGCTGCATAGATGTAGTCCAGATGCATGGGATCGTTTACATCAAAGACCAGCGGATCGGGACAGCGCTTGGGTCCAGACCAAAACGGCTGACCACTGGAGGTGATCTGATCGGGTGGGAAGTTGAACAGCAGCTGCTTGATCTGGTTGGCATATTGATCCTCCCAGGTTAAACGGGCCCACTCCACACATTGAGCAAAGCTTGTTGGCTTATCATCGATCAGGGCTTTCTGTAGATATATAAATAGGATATATAAATCTGTGTAGCTGAGCTCATTAAACCCAAACTCACCTTGATGGAATCCAGAATCTCGAGGGGCTGAATGCCAGGCAACTTGGCAATTCGCTCGGTGAACTGCGGATCGCTTATGTACTGAGCCGCATTCTCGGCATTTTGCTTAAAGACACCCTCAAAGGCATCGCGAGCCCACTGTAGAGTATGTTCGATGGCATTGGGGAAGTTCTTCAGCGTACAGATTGGAATACTCTTCTCTGGTGGATCCTGAGACGAGCTGTACGACTCGGTCGCGAAGGGCACAATCACCTGAACGTTGCCCAAGGTGCCCAGTGTTCCGGTCTCGACCAGAGGGATGCGGTTGAATATGCACTTGCGATCCATGTAGATACGGGCATCTACATTATCCAAAGCATTGGCCACGCCATCTAACTTGCCAAAGAAATCCTCGGAGAAGACCTTCTCAGTTTCTGGGCCAACGCGCAGCTCATAAGACGTGACATTTACATCCGGGTTCATTCGCTTAATGGCATCGGCCGCCGTCAGCGACTTGGGCTTCTGCACGTCATGTGGGCGGAACAGGAACTGACGGTTTAAATTCGACTTCTCAATGAGATCCATGTCGGTGACGAAGATCTGGCCCTTGCCCACGCCCAGGCCGAGCATTCCAAAGTTCTTCAGCAGCTCGCAACCAATGGCACCGGCTCCAACGATGAACCACTTGGAATCGGCTAACTTCTGCTGGAACTTCTGGCCAAATATAGCAATCTGGGCATCGTACCGCGAGCCCACAGGCTGAGCCTCAGCCTCGGGCACACCTCCTTCTGGCAGGCACTCCAGGGCATCGTAGTACAGCCACTGGAAGATCGGAGTGAACTTTCCACTGCAAGCCTTGAGCACCTCCTGGGCCACAATGCCGCCAATGGCCGCATCCAGCGGGCATGTGTTGCCCGAGCAGATCTTGGCGAACTGCAGCACCAGCTTCTCATCGATATCAGCATTACTGCTGTCCTTGCACAGCTGCAGGAATTTGTTGGCATCCTCGTCGTTCCAAGGCCGCGGCAAAGCTCCATTGTTGGCATTGCGGTAGCAGGAGAGAGCCTTAAATGCCACGTGCAACGTGGCAGGCGCATCAAGCTTGGCGAAGTCGGAGATCAGGAACTCGGGCTCCTCGGTGGCCAGCGCCAGGGGCTTGAAACTGACCGTCTTGGGCATCTTCACCTGCGTGGCCACGCCGCTGCTCTTGTACTCGCCAAACTTGCTGGTGTCGCCAATGCTAAAGGTGTAGGGTCCCAGCACGGTGATCCTAATGGGCTGACAGCCGTTAAGTTCCGTCATGCCCTGCACCTCAGAAAAGGTGACATAGTCGCCGTCATTGAAGCCGTGACGGGTCTCATCCAGACAAGTCACCACTCCCTGAGCGTCGTGGGTGATGCTGGCAATCATGGTGGACACCGGCTGGGCGCCATCCTGGTCAAAGATGGTGAAGTTCTCTCCGAAATCACAGAACACCTTGGCGAACAGGCCACGCGTTTCGGCGATAATCAAAGCAATGTCGTTATCATGGGCAAACTGGGCAATCCTCTGCTGCTCGGCGGCATCCGAATTGGTGAGCACCACGACGCGGAACTGGCGCAGGAATTCATCCGTAAGGGGACCTGTGTGCGTGAGCGTACGCACATAGTTATTTAGTTCAGCAAGCTGAGAGCAGGAGGCCTCCGCACGATTCTTGCCAATGTCGGCCTCGGTGAGATAGAACTGCGACGACAAGTCTTGGAGCTGCAATAAAATCGGAAATAAAATACAAAATTAATAAATTGCATTCTGGTGATGAAATTAGCTAGAGGCTAGAGGAGGGGGCGACGGTTATGACTAACAAAAGAGAATTTGTTGCGTTTCCGAGTATAAAACAAAAGCGAAAGACGGCGGCAAAGTGGAATGCAAAAACAATTCCAGACCGCTATGCGCGCACACACACACACAAACTTGCAACACCCTAGAGTTATCTCTTTCGCACACTTTTCGCTTGGCGCAGACTTTTTGCCGCAAATAGAAAAAGAAAGAAAAGCGAATTACACACACTTTTTTTGTTCTTTCTTTTTTGCAAGCAAACTCCGAGAACCGAGAAGCTAACCTAACCTAATTTCGCGCGAAAATCTCTGGAAAAACGACCGCGTATGAATCACAATGCCAGGGTTGGCACCCCCTCACCCGTTAGTTTTTCTCTCTATGCATTTCCCGCGCACTCCGCTTTGTCAAACGGAAAATTATCGATTTTTTCGCCACACTCTCCGCGCCCCGTCGCCCCCTTGCTGCGTAATGGAACACACATACCCCACAAGTTGCTGTGTCATGCAGGGTGATCGATTTCACACCGCCCAGAATCACATTCTTGGCTATCTCCAGTCCCAATCCTCCCAGGCCAGAGAGCAGGATGTCCGAGTTGGCCATCCGGCGCATGGCATCGTGCCCGAGGACGTACAATTGGCGCGAGTACAGCGACTCGTCGATATCTCCGCCAGCGGCGGCATTATTGGCAGCCATGCTACTACCTCCTAAATGCCGACTATTACTGTTGTTATTGCTATTGCTGGAGCTGACGTTGTTGTTCGCGGCGTTGGTGGTACTAGAGTTGCTTCTGGAGGAGCTTGAATTCGCTGAGGAGGAGGCTTCGATGTCCAGGTTATTCCGCTTCTCCGGGCGCTGCTTGCTATTGCTACTTTCCTTTTCCACTGCTGACGAAGTAATAACGTCGTCGCTGTTCGCTTTCGCCGCTGATTCGTTCGCTCGCCTCGCCGTCGCATTCGGGGCACACGTGTCAGAGGTGGACGACGATACACACAGCTCCAGCTGCTGCTCTATTGTTGTCTCGCTCGAAATGTCAACGCCGCCTGCTGCTTTGTCGTGATTTTCGTAGTTGTTGCTGCTGCTCGTCGCAGCGCCGGCTTCCTCGTTCTCGGCCGTTGCCAGCTCCAATCTTCGCTTCTTGGCCAGCGGGGATCCGTCGGAGCTGCTGCAGGCTGGTGAATCGGCCATCAATTGCTGGCCGCTGGACGACATTTCACTGAATTATCGAGAATATTTGCGTAAATGCGACTGTTGTGGCTGCACCGCTCACCCCCTCGCACACGCACACTTGACCACTGGGCACGCACACCGCTACACAAAAACACACGCACAATGGGACACACACGGACACAACACGCGCACAACACGAGAGTAAGGAACGTCTGGCTAAGTGGTTTTGCCTTTGATTTACGGTCCGTCCGATGGCTCGGAGAGGATTCCGGCTTTATTGCACAGTGGGCAGGGCCAAATAAAGAACACGCAACTCGCAGGTCGCGCACGATCGAAAATTGCAATATAGAATTTGCCGACGAGATAAATTTGTAAAAGCTATCGATTGCTTGGATATCGAATAGAATTTGCTGAACTTTTTATGCGATGCGAAACGAATCGTATGTGACGCTGTATCGATGTATCGGCCACAGCAGGTGGAAACTCTACGCCGTCCAAAATTTTAAAACGAAAATGTTACACATTGTTAAAACTTTGAATTAATTGAAAGGTAAGACTCAGATTGCTCAGTTTTTACAGTTTCTTTGTTTGTTGTTTTTGATATATAGTAAAATGATGGTTATAAATATAGGAATGACAGCGGGACTGCCAACTTGCGCCAAATTTAAAGGTCTTCTGGGTGTGCAATAGCTGGTATCACTGTTGGTGGTTAAAAGGCGATGTGGCAGTGTTAAGAAATCATTTCCCATAGATCTGGCAACGCTGTCCGCTGGGCGCACCTTTTGAAAAAGTATCTATGAAATTTTTACGTTTTAGTATGAATTATCTTTGTAATGGAGATGTTCTTTTTTCTTTATACGTATCCCTTTTCTTACAATGAAAATCATTCTAATTTTATTATTTTATGTTCTACAACTAATAACATACATACATAGATTTTCTGAACAACTTGGAAAGTAGTATTTGTTCTTAATTCCCTTTGAATTCATTTTGTTTTTACTTTTAGTTTTGCAATATGAAACAAAGAAGTATGTAGAGATCAGAAATATACAATATATATATATAGGTTTGAATGAAAATTATTAACTTAAATCAAACTACGCTGGTAAAATTGATACCCTTTTAGGAAAATAATATTAAATAACTCAATACTCTTCGGTAACAATTGAAATATATCCTACCAGAGGACCATCGGAACCATCAATCTGTCGGCACTTGAGGCAATTATCCTGGGCCTGGACTCTGATCGTGGCACGCGCACGCGCCTCTACGATTGTCCAACTGACCCACAGCCGAGTCCTTGGGCCGTCCCTTTCGGCACTTTCCAGTTACGAGTTCAATATCCTTTTGAGAGCGGCTAATCTATTTTCGGCCGTCCTCTCTGTTCAACGGTAGTCGAGCATGAAAATGCGTAAATTTCCACGAAAAACCCAGGAGTACGGGTCCTGGCGGGGGTGTCCTTTTCAAGTGTTGAGAGCGTGCCATTAGGAAAATACAGAAAATGGGAAATACATATGCGAGAGGGGGGGAAAACAGCTGCAGGATCTAAAGTCCGGATCTCGTTGGCGGAGCAGTTGCGTAAAATGCATTTTAATTTAGAGTCACAGCTGCGCGAAATACTTCGCTCCCGTTTTAGACTCACTCCCTTCCTGCCCTTTAAACTCTGTTTTTAGTGCTCTAATTTTAGCCCGATCTTGATCTGGAATGAAAACTAGCCGCGGACTTTATCGCGTGCGGTGTGTCCTTGTCGCGTGGTAATTTCATGAATTCTGAGCAAATTAGCATACTGATCCGATGTGTGGGGGTGTCCTTTTGCTGCCCATCTGTCCTGCATCGCGTGCCTGTGAGGATATAGAGAATGCATTCAGGGATTCGGGCTTGAGTCCTGGTACCTCTGCCTTAATTAAGCCTCCTCACATATGGCATTGCGCATCCCTATGCAAATTTTATTTCACCCATTAATCAATTTTGGAATGTAATTTGAATATGAAAACTCGAAAAAAAGGAAAATTAAAGGCCTGGTACTATTAATTTCGGTGCTGTCATCGAATCGAAGGGTAGAAATGCTACGTTCGTAATTTTGCTAATAGTCTTTTTAAGGTTCATTAAAAAAAAAAAAAAATAGGAATGCAAATTCAAGGGAAATGGGAAGAGTGATGCAGATAAATTTTATGTAATTTATTTTATGTATGTACTTTTCTAAAAATACTTCTACATATTAAAGAATAACAGGATAACCAGTAAACATATATTTCAATGCCTCCGAATGGACTTTAATTAAGAAATTACCAGCAATCTATAATAAAATAAATACAAATTCTTACGCAATAAATATTACAAAATATTGAGACACACACTTGACTTTCACATACTTTCTTAACCAATTCAAAAATATTTACATCTTGAATTTCATTTATTAATAATATCCCCCGACTTCCTTTTGTCATTTTGGACGCCTTCCTGGACCCTTATTTAACCATAATATGCCTCTTCCTTTCTGATTGCTCCTTTTGACCACCAAAAAGAGATAACAGAGACAGCTCCTTGGTTGACCCATAATACCCAAGGAACTCTCCTAACCCAGTGTCTCACATTGCGGGACCATCAAGGAGCTAGATATTTATATATCTTTTATGGCGATCAACAATATTCTCTTCTATTGCCACTAAATGACTGCGAGTGTTTCCCCCCTCGTTTTAATTGTCTGGGAAAATGCATTTTATCGTACATCTTATAAGGAGAAGAAAACGAAGATGAAGACGAAGGCGCAGCGCGTAAATTTTAACAGTCTAAACAATTAAAGAAGTGTCCCTCATTTTTTTCAAGAGTTATAAACGGAAAATACGTTACAAATCCAACGCTTCGGCAACTTGGCTTTTTCGGCATCTAGAATGTAGAGTGACTTGGTCAAGTGTATGTTGGTAGAGCATTGTTTCTGCTGCTGGTCTTCTTCCCCTTCGGTATTTTTCATTTCATTTTCACTATTTCCCTTGTTTTTTAACCTGGCCTAAATACGCGCTAGGCTTTATGCTCAGTGAATAACGTGTGAAACCCGAGGGTTGGCTGAAGGAAGGAAGCCAAAGGAAGTGCTGGCTGCAATTTTGATTTGGCCCTGAGGCATTGGCCGATGCAGGTACACATAAGTTACGAGGGCGCAGACAGTTGGCCACAGGTGAGTGCGTCTCTGCCGGGTAACTTTGCTAATTGGTGCCCAGTTCAGTCTAGGAACTCTGGAAGTAGATGAAAAATCCCACCGAATGCAATCAAAATATTTACCAAACGCAGTGGAGTGTGAGATCTGCAAAGGAGAAGTTCCCGCGAGGAGGTGTGAAAGGACAAAAAGAGGAGAGTTGCTGTCAGAGGGAAATGCAAATGCCAGGCGACTTACCTGAATCTCAAGAAGGGGTTTTTCTCTCCTCAACACAATGGACAGACCAAAATATTTTCAACCATTTTCGAGTGTCTTTTCCAGCAGCAAGCATTGAAGTGTCACAGAGGAAATCTTAGATTTATGTATGTAAATTCCCCGTCCGGCGGCACTCAACCCCGGACAGAGGGCTGAGAAGTCGAAATTAAGTTGTAATCTTTGTAATTTTTGTCACTCCAAGAAGAGAAAAAAAGGGGTTGACAGGGGACAGCTGCCTCACTCCTCCTGAAGGATCTGTCCCCTATTTTCCTCCCTTTCCCTGCATAAAGCGACACATTTGTTTTGTAAATATTGCGTTTGTAATTAATGCGCGAATATCGAGAAATGCATTTCTCCAAGTTCTCCGATCTGTCTTCTCTATCACAGCTAAATTTGCATATGAGTTGCTGTGTTGGGCCTCATTTTTCAATTGGGAGTCATTTTTCATTATGACCCAAAAGGGTTTCACTATTCAAATTTCATTCAACATAGATTAATGGGTTCAGTATTTGGGAGTCTGTGAGTTTGGGAAACTTTACAAGATCGTAGGATTATTAATGGTGAAAGAGAGTATTCTCAGCTAGATTACATTAGGTTTTTTATTTAAAGGCTTATTTATTAATTAAAAAAAAAAAAATATTTTTAAAATTCTTGAACATTATTTATATACATATTATAATAATTTCCGATTTTCAGAAAATATTATACAAAAGTCTTGATTAATAAACATATTCAAATTGATAAAAATCTTTCGAAAACTGAAATTTTTCTGAAAATTTTCCGATCGTTCCTATGGCAATATATATATATATAGTCCACCGATTCCCCATGCTCCGATTTATGTATGGTTAAAATTATATAGAAGAATAACACCATAGTTTCATTCAAATAGCTTGATCTTTGTTCCAAAACAAATCTCGCACATGTGTGCATATGATTCCCAACTGGTTCTAACATCCCCGGAACAAAGTGACTGCTGCCGACCAAGTCTTAGAAATGTGTTTTGTTACAAAAGTTGCAAGTCATTGTTTATTAGTGTTCAAAGTTAGTAACTGCTCATACATACTTACTGGTCATAGACACTTACTGTGCAGAGTTACTTACGGGTCATTGATACTTACTGTTCAGATTTAATTACTGCTCATAGATACTTACTGTTCAGATTTAATTACTGAATATAGTTATTTATTGATCATAGTTATCTACTGATCATAGTTACTTATTGTTCATTGATACTTAGTGGTCGGTCATAGATACTTACTGATCATACATAGTAAGCTCATTTTATTCCTACAACTTAATCATTCACTTAAAATTATTAACATTCAATTAAACCTTTAATTAAATGTTGATTAATGTGCAAATACATGTTCACATGATATGGGAAATGAACTCACTCCTCTTGAGATTTTCCCAGCCATTTGATAAAGACATCATCTACCCGGGACAAGCTCATTGAGCGATAAATCAACTGAGAACTTTTCACCAAATCCATTTTGCACATGCAAAATCATTTTGCAGAAATTTGTAAACATTTTATTACAAAACATCCCGTTTGGCAGGATAGGGTTCTCAATCCTTTTTAAGGATCCCAACTCACCCTTTCTGCACGGCAGCTACTTAAGATGCAACGACAACTGCATTCAGGACAGGACTCTCTTTGGAAGACAAAAGGGATTTTCCAAAACGTACAGAAGACAGCAGACAGCATGTAACCCACCACCACCACCACCACCGAGAATATCCTGTGAGGATCGTCCTTGGAGTTTGCATATGTAATAAATGGGCAACTTGGCAGAGCGTTTATTGCCCATGCATAATCCCATTTAATGTGCTTACTGTAACCGCCATTTGAATAATGCCCAGTTAACGCTTTAATGTGCTTAGTCGCTATCTCTGAAGGTGTGCTAAGAAGGACTTCCTGTCTGGGAATCGGGAATCAGGATCGTGGAATTACGAATTTAATGCATTTCTGATACCTTAGGCTCCATTGCAACATTTTTTTATTTTATTGAGCGCCTGGCGCAACGAATCCATCAATTTTATTGCCGGCCAGGAATATTTTTATACATATATGAGATCTGCAGCAGGACACCCTCTCA